GAAAGGAAACAAAAAAAGATAAGTAACACTTTAAAATGAAAGGACGGGGAAAGTACTCCAATCAAATGGGACCAGAAAGCAAACAGGAATTTCTTTCTTCTTTCCTTCTTTTTTTTTTTTGAGACAGGGTTTCTCTGTGTAGCCTTGGCTGTACTAGCGCTGGCTTTGTAGACCAGGCTGGCCTTGTACACACACATATCCACGTGCATCTGCCTCCTGATGCTGCCATTAAGGGCATGTGCCTCCAGGCCTGGCTGCAAGCAGGAGTTTCTATCCTAATATATAGTAAAACAAACGTTTTATTAACAAGTTGTAGAGAGGATGTGAGGAGAGGGGAACCCTCATTTACTACTAATGACACTGCAAACTGGTGCAGCCACTCTGGAAATAAATGTGGAGAACCCTCAAAAGGCTAAAAAAACATATGACCCATTTATACCACTTCTTGGCATATGCCCAAAGGACTTGACTTTCTATCTCACAGATATTTGCTCTGCTGTGTTCATCACATAAGCTAGGGCATAGAAACAACCGAAATGTCCTTCAGCTGAAGAATGGATAATGAAAATGTAGCACATACACACTATGGAATACTATTAATACTAAAATAACAATACTGTAAGAAAAATGAATTCTGCAGGTAAATGAATAGAACTAGAAAAGTTCATATTGAGTAAAGTAATCCTGACCCAGACAAATGTCTGATGTTCCTTTCATCGGTGGCTCCTAACTACAATCTTCAGATGTGAATATACAATCTGAAGTAAGTGCAGAAGCCATCGAAAAAGGACATAGGAGGGGGTTGGCTTTTAATTAAGGAGGAGGTCAATACAGGAGGAGAGGGAATGAGGAAAATAAAATAACAATATGGATGTCTGAAAAAGCCATAAAAATCATCCTATTTTTTAAGCTAAAATTATGTTTAATATACATAACCCATAGACAGACTCACACACACACAATATATATAGTTTAAATAAAAATTTTCCAACTGGGCTGACAATGCTTCACTAAAACCCATAGCACATCCAAGAAAAAAACCTAATAGTAGGCCAAAAAAAAAAAAAAAAAAAGCCAAAACATTACAGGTGTTTCTGTTATCCTTGGTTACCTCCTAGAGGTTGAAAGTTAAGTCCCTATTGCTGAAGACACCAAGCAACCCAGACACTCAGAGGCTCTAAGCTGCAACTGAACTGAAAGCCTCCTCCCCTGAGGACTAGCTTTCTTGACATCAGAAGGTGTTATGCAAACTTCCAAGGGAGAAGCCAGGCAGTGGTGGCACACACCTTCAATCCCCTACCTCAAAAAACAAGGGGGGGAAAGTAATAGAAGACACCCATTACCAACCTCTGGCACTCACATATAATGCACATAAGTGCACACGTGCCTGCATACACACACATATACACACATACAAAAAAAATGAAACGAGAGGAAAGCCTAGAATCTTGTAAAAAAAACTGTTATAAATTAATATTACATATAATGTATTGCTTATTGCACATATATTGTGGACCAAATTGTATTTTGTATTGGCATGGATTATATAGAGATATCCTGAGATGAAAAGTTATGTACCCCTCTATTCCATCCTGCAAGAATCTAGTGATTCCTTCTGGGAAGAAACGTCTGATTTCTAGAAGCCAGTAATTTGATGTCCTTTAAAAAATTATTATTCTCTCATATATTACATCCTGGTCACAGCTTCCCCTCCCTCCACTCCTCCCACTTCACCCTCCCCAGGTCCACTCCTCTGTTTCCCTTTCGAAAAGAGCAGAACTTTCAGGGATTGTAACCAAACATGGCTTAACAAGTTACAATAATACTAGGCACATCCCCACATATCAAGGCTGGGTGAGGCAAAAAGAAGGGTTCTAAGAGCAGGTGAAAGAGTCAGAGACACCCCCACTCCTGCTGTTAGGAGTCCTACAAAAACACCAAGCTACACAACCATAACATACATGCAGAGGACCTAGCTCAGACTCATGCTGGGTCTGTTATTTGTCACTTCAATCTCTGAGTCCTTATGAGCCCTGCTTAGTTGATTCTGTGGGCCATGTTCTTTGTGGTATCCTCAACCTCTCTGTCTCCTATAACCCCCCTTCCTCCCAATCTGCTTTTTCAGAGGTTCCCCAAGCTCTACTTAGAGTTTATCTGTGGGTCTCTGTATCTGCTTCCATCAGTTGCTGGATAAAGCCTCTCTGGTGATAATTGGGCTAGCCACTGATCTATGAGTATAGCAGAATATCATTAGGAATCATTTCATTGCTTTTTTTTGGGGGGGAGGGGAGTGAAAGCCGTGTTTGGTTCTAAATCTCCGGGTTATCCAGCCTCTTGACCCTGGCCATCCAGGCAGTGTCAGGATGGGCTCCCTCCTGTGGTGGAATGGGCCCCAAGTTGGCCACTCCACATGTTCTGCACCACCAATACCGCAGCTTATGTTTCAGGTGGGACAAGTTGTCGGTGGAAGGTTTTGTGGCTGGGTTGGTGTGGTGTCACAGTACCACTACTGAAAGCCTTTCCTGGTTACAGAAGATGGCTGGTTTAGTCTCTGTATCCCCATTGCAAGGAGTCTTCGCTAGGGTCATCCTCATAGATTCTAGGACGTTTCCACTAGGTTCCCATATTGCCCCCTCCCAATGTCCCCAAATTCCAGTTATCTCTACTGGGATTCTCTTCCTCCATCCCTCCTGGCCTGTCTGATCTTTCCTGTTCTCAGCTGAACCTTCATATCCACTTATAAGTGAGTACATACCATGATCGTCCTTCTGGGTCTGGGTTATCTCACTCAGGATAATGTTTTTCTAGCTCCATCCATTTGCCTGTTTGCCTGCAAATTTCCTTTTGTCGTCTTTTTTTTTTTTTTTTTTTTTTAAACAGCTGAGTAATGCTGCATTTGTGTAAATGTACTACATTTCCTTTCTTCATGTTTCTGTTGAGGGCATTTAGTTTGTTTCCAGTTTCTGGCTCATAATGAAGAAAGTGGCTATGGACAGAGTTGAACAACTGCCCTTGTGGTAGGATGGAGTGTCCTTTGGGCAGTAATTTGATGTTTTAAGGCCCAGGTGTAGCACATTTTCTCAGGATTTGCTAAATGAAAACACAAGGTCCTGCACAGATAGGCAAACCACTGGAAATAAGCAGCAACAGTTTTTGGATCACATATATTGTTTTACGAGCCCCCTATCTCCCCATGCTTAGACCTGGAGCATTATCTCACATATCTAATTAATAAATCCTCTATCTTTGCCTTTGTCTTTTGTTGTTGTTGCATAGTCAAGGATCCAACTTGATCTGAGAGGAGGTACCGGTGATAGCGATGTTTAGTATTGTCAACTTGACAAGCTCTAGAATCACCCATGACAATGCCATTGGGCTTACTTGTGAGGGACTGTCTTGACTAGTTTAACGATAGACTCACCCTAAGCATGGGGGGTACAGACATTGGTCCAAAATATAAGGAAGTCCCAGGGAGCTGCACTTTGTTGTTCTCGTTTTGCTTTGTTTATGGAGACAGGGTTTTTCTGTGTAGCCTTGGCTGTTCTGGACTCTGCTTTGTAGCTCAGGCTGGCCTTGAACTCAGAGAGATCCACCTGCGTCTGCCTTCCCAGCCCGGGGATTTAAGGCATGTGCCACCACCGACCAGCCCAGGGATTTGTTTTTAGTGTGCTTGCCTTTTCTTGTGCTGGTGAGTTCGATTGTTTCTGCCACAGCCACTGTCGATATTGCTGCCTCTGGCAGCCCTCAGTGAGATCAGAATCTAGTTTGTTCCTGTGGACTAAAGACTTGTAGCGGCTTTCCAGGAATCTTTAAAGCTTTTGTCGTCTGGTTGGACTGCTTAAGCATCCAGCCTCCAGGATTGCACAGCTACCAGGACAGCGGTTGTCGGACCACTCAAGAATGTACTGTGTAAAACAATCTAAAAAAAAAATCAAAAAACAAAAAACAAAAAATCCCCAGCCTTTTCTTAATATCTATTCTGTTCCTCCAGAGAACTAACACAGTCCTTTAACAAGGAACGTCTCTGCTGGGCTGTATTCCCCCCTCCCCTCCAACATCCTTTGCTGATGTAACAAACTGTCTGTAGATGGAGGGAGGAGGCTGTGTGTTGCTATGTGGCCTTGGGTACAAAGCAATCTTAATTCCTTAGCCTCCTCAAAGCTAGAAAAACAGGCATGGGGCACTACGCCAGCTTGGCTGAAGAATTCCTTAGCATTTTAAATGATAATCCTGATAACAGCAACACAAACTGCCTGCTGCAGTAATATTAAGAGGACTTAGGAAGCCTGTCTTATTCCTTCATAGTCGCACTGCTCTTATCTGAAATGATGTTCCTTTCACTTAAGGGCAGTGTCTACTTATCTTGTTCCTTGGTAGTGTAAGTATTCAGAAGGGGTTGGCTTTCAGATACGGGTCCCCGGGACCTTGGTGTCAAGTACTTCACTTCACAAGAGGAAGAGGTAGATTTAAAAAAAAAAAAAAAAAAAGTCATCAACATGCAAAACCTGTTACCAGATGCCCTATTCTGATCCAACTGCCAGACTTCCCTTGTCTGCCTGGCTGCTCAAGCGTTCAGCGGACTCTCAGGCACTACCTCCAGGTGTCATCAGACAGAGATGGGGGAGGAGGGTGAGCTCACCCTAGAAACCGAAAGGCAGATGGTGAGGCCATGCGCGTCTGCGCAGCAGCATGAGGACTTGCAGCGGGCGGTGCAAGTTTTATCAAACCGGGGAACCATTTCTTTGCCTCCTGTAAAAGGCTTCTCTGTCAGGGTTGCGTTCAGCTTCAGAGCAGCACAGCTACTTCATACGTCAAGCGTCTTCCCCAGTTCAGTTTCTGACTCTGAAGCTGAACTCAGAGCCTTCGGGAAGCCCCATGTGCAGCCTGTCTCCCTTTCTGAACTTAGGGTGCCCGGCACTGGGGTCGCCACGCCTCCCGCTGGGACAGCCGCGCTCGGCTGCGCATGCTCCGTGCGGGGGAGGCGGGGCTCCGGCCGGAAGCGTTCTCTCCCAGGCGGCATTTCTTTCCTGTGCGAGGCCGGGCTAAGGTTCCCATCCTCTCTGGTCCTGCCTCTGGGTGAGTAGCAGGTTCCCGCGGGGCCGGGCCAGGTGCGTCCCCCGCCTCTCCGGGGTCCCCCAGGGCCTGGCGCTCACCTGGGGAGCTCAGCCCGACAGTCACCTGCCCCACGCCGCTCACGCTTGAGCGCCGCCCCGGCACCGCCGGATCCAGCGGATTAACCTCCAAGGGCGTCCCGGGCCCTCGCCTTGGCGTCGGGCCCGGCGCGAGCCCTCAGGTCGGGAGACTTCGGGCTCTCGCAAGGACGTCTCTTGTAGGCGGCCCGGTCATTGGATGATTTGGGGGCGCTCTGGGCGACCTGAGGACCAGGCTTGTAGGAAGGTGGCTGGAAGGAGCCCGTCCTGCTCCTCCCTCTTTGTGCAGAGGCGGAGATATTTCTTCAGGGCTGGCCGTGTCTTCACAGAAGATGCTGGTGTTAATAATGTCCTGTCCTCTACGCGAAGCCTGGCAGGCATTCATTGCGTTTGTAGGGCCTTGATAGGCACAGAATTGGGACTTTGAGCCGAGAGACGTACAAGACTGCAATGCCTTAGGAAGGAAATACTGCAGTATAAACGCTAGTAAGTTGCTCAGAGATACGGTCGACACGGAAGCTATACCTTAAAGTGAAACGATTTAAAAATATGTCTAAAGATAATTCTGAATTAACACTGGTTTTGTGGTGTTTTTTAGTTGTGTACAGCAATGTGTATATTTTGTTAAAATTAGTGTTTATGCAAAATTGAAATACTTTTACGCACTTCTGTAGTGGTAAGGACTGACCTTAATTTGCAAATATATCAATGCTTTGTGAATGACAGACAGTTGTCTGTTTCACCTATGGAGACTGTATAAAGTATTTCCATTCATTGGCTACAAAGCAGGACGTTTCAGTTTCGTTTTTGGATTTTGAAGTCACTTCAGATACACGTTTAGTAGTCTTTGTTGTTTGCTTTTAGAGACAGGATTTCTCAGTGTAGTTTTGGCTGTCCTAGAACGCAACTCTCAAGATCAGGCTGGCCTCAGGACTTGAAAATCTGCCTGCCCCTGCCTCCCGGGTATTGGATTAAAGTCATGGGCCCTCACTGACTGGCAGCTTTTTGAGTGCTTTATATATTCTGGATATTAATCCTCTGTCAGATGTGTAGCTGGCAGATATCCTCCCATTCTCAAATTTTAGCTGCTGCCACCACCACCCGCCCCAGGCTAGACATGCATTAGTCATAAATCTGTTAATATCGGAATAGGAAGTTATATAAACAAGGAGGTTTTTGGACAGGATTAAAAATTGTTACTGTCACCAGGTGTGGTGGCCCATGCCTTAAAGGGGAGGCAGACGCAGGTGGATCTCTGTGTGTTAGTTCAAGGCCAGCCTGATTTCCAGAGTTCCAGGACAGCCAGGGCAACTTGAGAAATCCTGTCTTGAAGAACCAAAACAAACAAACCAACAAACAGATAAATAGTTACTGGCTTGATGACTTTATGGAAATGTGCTTTCGGAACAGCCCAGAGCCTTGATTTATCATTGCTATTCAGTGACTACCCAGTAGATGGCAATTTCAACGTGCCAGCTTAATTTTTTTTTTTTTTTTTTTTTTTTTTTTTGAGGCAGGGATGGTTTTTGTAGTTTAGGTTAATCTTGAACCCTGTGTAGCCCAGGTTAGCCTTGAACCTTCAGTCTTCATTATAGTCTTCTGAGTGCTGAGATTCACAGGCTTGTGCCACTGTACTCAGCTCTTCACTGAAACTTTTAAATAACAAAAGCTTTATTGGAATATCATTACTTTTCCCATATCAAGCTAACAGCTGTTATCCCACCTATTGTATTATTATCAACTGTGTTTGCAGCTTTATTGGGATAAAGACAAAGAAAGTAAAATTGTCAGGTCCTTTGAGGAGTTGACTGTCATGTCCTCTGTTTTTTGAAATCCATGCTAATGGATGATACTATGGATACTAATCCATACTGTTATTTGTTACATGAGGCAATTATAATTTGGTGGCTAAATTAGTTCCATTTTTTTTCTTTAGTAATTAACTGGACTGTATTTTTCAGTAATTGTATATTAGATATTATATATCAAATATAGTAAACACTTTTTTGTAGATGTTCTGTAAGTTCATATTGAATGAGTTATTTATCATCCTAGACCAAGGTTTTTTTTTTTTTTAATCTAAAATGAGAGCTTTCAGTTACTTGTTTAAATAATTGTGATTTCAGTGGCACCTAGTATTGGATGACTGAAAGAATTCATAGTTTTTTCTTTTTTCACAACTATAAACAAATGGTGAAGCTAGTCCAGAGGAGCCTTTGAACTTAGCAGTAGTAAGAAAAGTAACTATTTTAGAACTAGAAGAAACATGGATATTAGTCTTTGCAATACCCACTCAGCACCTACCACTGTGCAAGCAGTCTGGATTCTGATTTATTTATTCTACATGAGTTTATATGTATTTTTTTTCTTTTCCACCCCTTCCTCCAGTGTTTATTAAGGCTTAATGACATTGTTGGACACTGATAGCCTAGCTCCTAAAATGTAAAGGTATTTGTGAAGGTATTGCCTTTGACACTGGAGTGAATTCCTGCTGTAAACCTCTTTGCTGGAGTTGCTCAAGGATGTAACATATTTAAAAGTCAAATCACCTTCCTTCACCCTGTTCTTGAGTTGTTTCCTTTTGTTTGTAATAGAATTTTCCTATGTAACCTATTGTTTGTTGAGACAGGGTCTCATTGTAGCCCAATTCGACCTAAAGCTAACTTACAAACTCAGAGCAGTCTATCTTAGCCTCCCAAGAACAGGGATTACATGTGCAAGCCCCAACATTCAGATCCTCCTTTTGTTTTCATCTCTCATCTAGTCAGTCCATTACCAACTCTTGTTTTCCCTTCCCCCTTTGGACGGGTGGTTTTCAACCTTCCTAATGCTGCAACGCTTTAGTACAGTTTCTCATGTTGTGGTGACCCCCAACCATAAAACTGTTTCATTGCTACTTTCTAACAGTTATTTTGCTACCATTATGAATTGTAATGTAAATATCTGATATGCAGGATGTCTGTTATATGATCCCCTAAAGGGTTACATCCCACAGGTTGAGAACCACTGCTTTCAGACCTTTTCCTCTCATTGTTCCCTTTGTGCTTTCATGCTTGACATTTATGCATGTATATATTTTTAAGTTTAGGTTTTTGAGATAAGATGCAACATTTGTCTTTCTGATGTAATGATTGCCAGTTTTCATTAATTTTTCTGAAAATGTGATAATTGATTGCTCATTAAAATTCCATGTGTACCACTTTCTATCCATTCATCTGTTGATGGACATTTAGGCTAGTTCTGTGTCCTGGCTGCTGTGAATAGTTTAGCAAAGGGCATGGTTGTGTAAATTTTTCTGGGATGCTGACTTACAGTTCTTTGGGTGTGTGATATAGTTCATCTCCATACCGATTTTTGTAGTGGCTACAGCAGCTTTCATACCTACTAGTATTGTATAAATATGATGCCTGCTTCCTCACATTATCACTAGCATTGGTTTATTTTATTGATGTCAGCCATTCTGATTGGGGTTAGATGAAATATCAAGACAGGGTTTTAAAATTTTATTTTTATTTTATGTACATTGGTGTTTTGCCTGCATGTATGTCGGTATAATAAAGGTATTGGATCCCCTGGAATAGGAGTGACAGACAGTTACGAGCTGCCTTGTAGGCTCTGGGAATTGAACCCAGGTCCTCTGGAAGAACAGCCAGTGCTCTTAACTGCTGAACCATCTCTCCAGCTCCCTCAAGACAGTTTTAATTTGCATTTCCTTGGTGACTAAACATGTTGAACACTTTCAAATGTTGTCTATTTGTATTCATTTTTTTGAGAACTGTATTCAACTCATTAGACTGTTTATTATTTTGTGATTGAGTCTTTGTGTGTGTGTTTTTTAAAAGTTTTTAAATGCTTTATAGAGTCTAGTTATTAGTCACTTGTCAGATACATAGTTTGCAATTTTTCGCAGGAATACTGTAACCCAGCTCCCCTCCCCACAAGTTGAGGACCAAACTCAGGGTCTTGCACTTGCTAAGCTAAATCCTGACTCCTTCAGTACTGTAATTTTCTTGGTTCAAATGTTTTGAAAGTTCTCTTGCTTCATATTTATTTTGTTGTTGCAAGCAGAGGATGGTTCAAAAACTTTAATGTCACTTATCAATTAAGAAAGTGCATACTTAAACTTTAGCAGGTTTTGAAAAACTTTGAACATTAAGTATGGGAGACATGAGTCAACTTGTAGTTTGATTTTCACTAAAAAAAAAAAAACCTACTTGGCATTTGTTACATAGAAGAAATTTGTACCTTAGTATTAGGCATTTTCTTGTTAGCCTCCTTTTTTCTGCAGTTAGATTAACATTAAAATCATTGTTTTCTAGGTTCTTTGAAACATATTTAAAAGCTAAGAGTACCACCATATGGTACTATACATAAATATTCGTCCTGTAACTAAACATGTATCTCATCTTCAGTTTCTGAGGGAAGCCTTTAATGTCTTTGCTTACCTAACATGTGGTTCTCCTTCAGATGAGACACTCCTTAAGCAACAGGCAGTGTTTTTGACCAGACTCTTCTTTTACTTAGTTCAACCTACTTTCTTCCCCAATTTAACAAATATTGTTATTTCCTAGTGACTTTTCTCTTTGTTTTTTTAAGGTTAACAATCAAGATGGTACATGCTGAAGCCTTTTCTCGTCCATTGAGTCGGAATGAAGTTGTTGGTTTAATTTTCCGCTTAACAATATTTGGTGCAGTAACATACTTCACTATCAAATGGATGGTAGATGCAATTGACCCAACCAGAAAGCAGAAAGTAGAAGCTCAGAAACAGGTATGATTGCAGGATATGAAGATCATGTTTCCTATGCTAGCAAATATTTTTTACCCAAGCTAAGATTATAAATAATAAAACTCATGAAAATTCATTGGTACATTGTTTCAGTATCAATCCTTTTCCTTTTTTTAATCTGTAAACAAACATCAAAAGAAAAATAATGAATGAAAATATAAGTTGTTTTTCTTGTTTTTGTCTGTATTGCTTTTTCTCCCCTCCCATTGAAAGTCATTTTCCCCCCACATTGTATATACTGATTACAGTTTTCCCTCTACTTTTCCCTGTTCCTCCCTCCCTCCATCCCCTCCCATCTGGATCCACTCCCTCTCTGTCTCAGTAGAAAACAAACAGGCTTCTAAGAGATAATAATAAAGTGAAATATAATACTACAAAACAAAAACTAACACATTGAAATTGGACGAAATAAATGAACAGAGCCCCAAAGAGCCCAAGAGAAGACACAGGAATCATAATTATACTTTTCACATACTCAGGAATCCCACAAAAACACTAAACTGGAAGTCATAATAATATATATGCAGAGGACCTGGTGCAGACCTGTGCAGGCCCTGTGCTTGTTGCCTCAGTCCCTGAGTTCCTATGAGCAGGAATCATGTTGATTTAGAGAGTCAACCTGTGGGTCATGAACTCTTTGAGGGATTGATTGAACCTTTCACAGGGGTTGAATATCAGATATTTACATTACGATTCATAACAGTAGCAAAATTACAGTTTTGAAGTAGCAACGAAGTTTTATGGTTGGGGTCATCACAACATGAGGAACTATATTAAAGGGTCACAGCCTTAGGAAGGTTGAGAATCGCAGATTTAGAGGGCTCTTTTCTGGTGTTTTCTGTCACCTCTGGATCTTACACACTTTCTGTCTCCCCTTCTATAGGGTTCCCACTTAAGGCTGAGTGTTCCAAGGTCTCACTCTCTGCATAATGTCTGGCTGTAGGTCTCAGTATTTGTTACCATCTGCAGGAGAAAGCTTCTTTGATGAAGGCTGAGCAAGGCACTTATCTATGAGTAAAGCAGACTGTTTTAGGAGTCATTTTATCACTGCTGTTTTTTTTAAAGAACAGTAGTATTTGGTTTTACCCTAGGTCCCTGGGCTATGTAGTTCCAAGCTCTTGGTCATCCAAGACCCAAGGAGTGTGGGGTATGGGCTCTGTCTTTTGGAGTGGGCCATAAGTCAAATCAGATACTGGTTGATTACTCCCACAGGCTTTGTGCTACTGTTACCCTATCATGCAGGCAGGATATCTTTGTGGAGCAGAGGGTTTGTCTGGGTTGGTGTTTACATTCTTCATTTGGTAGTGTGCAGAGTGCTTTCCTGTTCCAAAGACACTAGAATGTAGAGTTGAAGGCTCAGTGTAGATACCAGCCTGACTTCTCCATGTGCTGGTGTTGTCAGTTTATAGAAAACAACCTATAGTCCTGACAATAGCCTGGGCTGTTCAGATATTTCCATGGGACCCTTTGGCCAACAACTCCATTAGATGTATCCCAGTCCCCGTATTGAAAGCTTCGTTTGTGACAGGAGATGTTTAGGTGGTGCTCTGTCTCCCCTATTATTTGGTGATTTCTTTTAGATCACATTTATATATGTATATATATTAGTAAGTTTCTACTGTAGTAGGTTTCCATACTATCTTTCAAATGGCCCTTAATTCTAGTTGTCTCTCCCTGAATTCCCTCCCTCCTTCCTCTCCTCTTGATTCCCCCATCCACCCATAACTTTGTTCTATTTCCCCTCCTTAGGGAGATCTATCTCTCCCCACAGTCCCTTATTCTACACCTAACCTCTGTGGTTCTATGGATTGTAACTTAGGTATCATTGACTTAACAGGTAATATCAACATATAAGTGAACATACACCATATTGTTTTTCTGTGTCTGGAATACCTCACTCAGGATGTGTTTTTTTGTTGTTGTTTTTTTTTTTTTTTCTTTTCCTAGTTCCATTCATTTGTCTGCAGATTTTGTAATTTTTTTTTAACAGCTGAGTAATACTCCATTGTGTAAATGTACTACATTTTCTTTCTCCATTCTTCTGCTGAAGGAGATCTAAGTTGTTTCCAATTTCTGTTTATTATGAGTAGAGCATCAATGAACATGGTTGAGCAAGTATGTTTGTGGTAGGATAAAACGTCCATTGGGTATGTGCCCAAGGGTGGCATAGCTGGATCTTGAGGTAGATTGATTTCCCCCTTCCTTAGAAACTGCCACACTGATTTCCTTAAGTGTCTGTACAAGTTTGCATTCCCACGAGCAATAGATGAGTATTCCTTTTACTCCATGTCCTGGCCAGTCTGAGCTGTCACTTGTTTTATTGATCTTAATAGTTTGGATTTGCATTTTTTAATAGCTAAGGGTTGTTGAGCATTTAAGTGTTTCTCAGCCATTTGAGTTTCCTCTTTTGAGAATTCTCTGTTTAGATCTGTACCCCAATTTTTAAACTGGGTTGTTTTCTTAATACTAGTTTTTTGGGTTCTTTATATGTTTTGGGTGTTAGTCCTTTATTGGGTGTAGTTGGTAAAAATCTTCCCATTCTGTAGGTTACCACTTACCAGAATAACAGTGTCCTTTGCTATGCAGAAGCTTTTCAGTTTTGTGAGGTCCCATTTCATTAATTGTTGATCTCAGTACCTGTGCTGATTGTGTTTCATTCAGGAAGTTGTCTCCGGTTTCCCACTTTTTTCCCCCCCACTCAAGTTCAGTGTACCTGATTTTGTGTTGAAGTCTTTGATCTGTTTGGAGTTGAGTTTTGTTCAGGGTAATAAGCATGGATTTGTTTGCATTCTTCTACATGAAGATGTCCATTGTGACCAGCATCATTTGTTTAAGATGTTGTCTTTCTTTCCCATTGTGTATTTCTGGCTTATTTATAAAAAAAAATCAGGTGTCCACAGGTGTGTGGATTTATGTCTGGGTTTTCAATTTGATTCCATTGATAAATGTACCTATTTTTGTGCCATTTCCATGCTATTTTTATTACTATTCCTCTGTAGATATTCTAGGATGAAACTGAAATTGGGGATAGTGGTATCTTCAGCAGTTCTTTTATTTTTCGGGATAGTTCTAACTATGGTGGGTTTTTGTGTTTCCATATAAAGCAGAAATTTGACTTTTTAAGATCTGTGGAGAATTGTGTTAGAATTTTGATGGGGTTTGCATTGAAATGCAGATTGCTTTTTGTAGGATGGTCACTTTTACTATATTAAGGAATGAACATGTGAGTTTTTACTTTTACTACATTAAGTGCATGAACATGTGAGTTCTGTCTTCTGATAGCTTCTTCAGTTTCTTAAAGTTTTTATCATCCAAGTTTTTCTCTTGTTTGGTTAGAGTTATCTCATGTTGAAAATATAGTTTTGTTTTCATTTTTAAGAATATCTTTTGTGGTGGATGAAGGGAGGGATCTGCTTGGGAAGGGGAACAGGGATTGATTGGGGAGGCTAGGCCGAAAAAAACTGGAATCAGTAGGGAGTTATCTCTGGGACAAGCTAGAAATCTAGGCCAGTGGAAACTTCCAGGAATTGATGAGTGTTACCCTAGCCAAGACTCCTAGCAAGAGGGAATATGGAATGTGAAACGACTGTAACCAGGCAAGACTTCCAGTGGTGGGGTGGGTACACCAGCCCAGCCACAAAACCTTCGACCCACAATTTCTCCTGCCTATAAGAGGTGCAGGGATAGAGAGGGAGCAGAAAGTGAGGGGATGGCCAACCAATGAGCCTTGAGTCTCATGCCATGAGAACGAGCCCACCCCAGCACTATTAATAATATTCTGCTATACTTGCAGACAGGAGGCTAGCATAACTGTCATCTGAGAGGCTTCACCCAGCAGCTGATGAAAAGATGCAGAGACCCACAGCCAAACATTAGGCAGAGCTTGGGGACTGATAGAAGAGGAGGAGGAAGGATTGAAAGAGCCAGAGAGGTCAAGGACACCACAAGAAAACCTACAGAATCAGCTAATTTGTCTTGTCTAGGCTCAGTAGAAGATGTGCCCATTCCTGCTACAACTTGATATGCCAACGCAGGTTGATATCCATGGGAGGCCCCTCCCCTTCTCTGTGGAGAAAGGGAGGGAGGCCCAGGGAGAGGGGAGGTCAGAGGGAGGGACTGAAGGAGAGGAGGGAGGGGACGTTTTCATTGGGATGTAAAGTAAATAAATAGTAAAAATCCTTGATAGAATATTTTAATCAGTGTGATAAAAATAAATCTAGATGAAGATCTTTATCAGAGTAAACAGATAATTTTGGTAACTATATATTTTGCTCTGTATGGTGTCAAATTTATAAACATTTACAAACTGTGGGTCTTTTAATACTTGGCAAACTAACCAAAATTCTTAGAAATTGCCTTAAAATGTTATTGGTTAAGTTGAATGCTGCTGTCTCTTATTCTCTCTCTCTCTCTCTCTTTTTTTTTTTTTTTTTGAAATAGGGTTTCTCTGTGTAGCCTTGGCTGTCCTGGACTCACTTTGTAAACCAGGCTGGCCTCAAACTCACAGAGATCCACTTGCCTCTGCTTCCCAAGTGCTCCCAAGGCATGCACCACTGCTCGGGCTAGGTCATTTGTTTACTAGGTTGATACATATGTTTAATTTCTGTTTATCCTTAGAAAAACCAATCTTAAAGTCTTTTAACTTTTTCTTGCTATTGAGAACAAGATGTTTATACTCAGGGCTTTTTAAATTTGTTTTGTAAGTTGTGACTCTGATTCATTTAATGAACATTTATATTAAAAGGGGATGCCATTTGCTTTTTCAAATGCTACAGACAGGCAAGGGAAATAGAGATGTAAATAAATTGCTGTTTTATATATTATGCATCGTTTCTAATCAGAAAAAAATGAAAACTACTATTTCATAAATATAGTAAATATATCTGAAAAAAGTTTGGACGTTTGTAAATTTATTGCCTCATTTTAATTACAAAATAATTGGTGAGAATTCTAGCTTGTATTGTTAGCTATTTTCAATATTT